TATATATATATATATATATATATATATATATATATATATATATATATATATATATATATATATATATATATATATATATATATATATATATATATATATATATATATATATATATATATATAAAGATTGCAAAAAAAAATCTTACTCTCTTCGTTCTCAAAAACACTTCCTCTTTCATTTTTTTTCACTTCCAACAAAACACTTTCACTTTCTATTAAAAAACTACTTTTACCCTTACTTTTTCATATCCTACCTATCCCATCATATTTTATCTCTAATAATCTATCCATCACATCTTACTTTTACATATCACATCAAGGGCAAAATTGGAAGTCAACTACTACCTCCGTCCCAGAGTATTTGTTCACTTTCATTTTTACACACCATCCAATACACTTCTTTAATCCATTTTATCTTGTAATTTGTATATTAAAAAATTATAGCAATTATATATTAATAATCTATATGTTAAGACAAATTAAACAAGATCACTCATGACTATATTTATATATTTAGGCTTACACATTGAGAGAATTTGATGAGTCAAAGTGCTTAAATGAATATTTCCAAAAGTCAAAACTGGACGAATACTTCGGGATGGAAGGAATATAATTTAATACTTCCTTATTTTTACACAAAATTAAAAGAGGAACCTTCTTAAGAACGAAGGGAGTATAAAACTTTGTGTCTAGTGAAAAGAGACTTTTAATTAATTTAGGATGAGGAAAATAGGGAGTCATTATTAATGACAAGTACGTACTCATAAAGATTTGCCCTCCTAAATCTTAGGGTTTGTCCCGTCTCTTTTCGCCCTAAAGCCAGCCTTTGTGTTTGGTGACTTAAACACGGAGTATTAGTTCTTCTTCTAGACAAATTAATTTAGGGCTTTTTCTGAGCTGGAATTTCACTGGCCCTGTCCATAAATGTTCATTCTTTTTGACTTGTGAGATATCTTTAATTTTTTTAAAAAAAGAAATTTTTTGGAGGTTGCATTTTTAGCATCACATTCTCATAAATTCTAATGCGAGAATACTAATACAAGTAATAATATGTGTGTGTATGAGAAGGATGATATCGATATGGTATCAAAGGTGACGTTAAACTAGCATTTTCTGAAAGAAAGAATATACTACCTTCATCCCAGAGTATTTGTCCATTTTCATTTTTACACAACATCCAATGCACTTCTATAATCCATTTTATCTTGTAATTTGTATATTAAAGAATTATAGAAATTATATATTAATAATCTATATGTTAAGACAAATCAAACAAGATCACACATGACTATATTTAGGCTTACACATTGAGAGAATTTGATGAGTCAAAGTGCTTAGATAAACAATTCCAAAAGTCAAAAGTGGAAGAATATAGCGGGACGGAGGGAGTATTACATACGGAGTACTACCCTTTTTTGAAGAATTTTTCTTTATTTTTTCACAAAATTATAAAAAGTATTGAATTTTATTAATTGTTGCAATTTAAATCCCCGAGGAGAGAAAATAGATCGGAGTCGTGACACAATTTCTTTTACTAAAAAGGTGTGTGAACTTATTTTGGACGTTCTAAAAATAAAAGCTGAAAATTGTTTTTGTTGTTTGACTTCTTGAGTTATAAGAAATATACTTCGGATGTAATTGAAATTTGTTTAGATTCGAGAAAAACGTGTGGCCCCCATACTCTACTATTCCTTTATAGGAAAAAAATAAGTATTTTTTCTTTAACATAAATGTTAATAATACAAATTTATTATAGAGTATTAAAATTAATTGTGACAAAAATATCGAGTACCACAGGTGCAATTTTTAAGCGTCATTTGTTAAATATTACGGAGAACTCTGTATTATTATTTCTGTCTTAGTATGTTTTTCCAATTTATTTTTTTAATCAAACTGGATAAACCATAGATTTCAATTAATAAAAGTTTTAATGTATATTAGTATAAAAAAATTCATTAGATTTACTTTATTGTGAATATAGTTCAATGTATTAATATGCAATATAAATTTTGAGTTATTTGTGATTAAAATTTATCAGATTTGAATTGGAATATACATATATACTAAGACAGATGGAGTACATTACAGCCAAAATTGCAAAACATCCAAATTTCAACAATTTTATTTATAGTTTTCACACTCGAAATTTGTAAAACCAAAGTGTTGAGATGGAAGAAATACTGATATTCCTAAAATACCCTTCTTTGAAACATTCCAACTAACATTCCCTACCTATAATAATATTCCTCATCTACACCGGCCCAACATTCCCAAGAGCTAGTTTATGATTAATCACCAATTGATCATCCCTAGCTCAGTAGTGTCGTTGACTTTATTGACCCACCGCTGCCGGAGTCCGACGATCGACCACAAAATGCCGCCTCCGCGAAGCGCACCGCCGCCGGTTTCTTTACCATTCTTAGTTGCGGCGGCGGCGCTCTTCTTTGGCATTTGTGTTCAAGCAGAAGATGGTTACGATGTGCACACTTGGAATGTTACATATGGAGACATTTCCCCTCTCGGTGTTTCCCTAAAGGTTTAATTTGTATATGAATATAATGTCTTTCTTATTTTCTTTTAATTAATTGTCTATACACACACACAGAGATATATATATATATATATATATATATATATATATATATATATATATATATATATATATATATATATATATATATATATATATATATATATATATATATATATATATAGGGGCTGGTTCCCGTGAGAATGCACCTTGTGGAGAGAAATGAGAATAAAATCTAGCCGTCGGATCTGATGCATATATCGTGCGGCTCAGATTGCATCCTGCGCTCAGATTTTGAGATAGTGCATTTTCGAAGGTTTATGGTGCATTTCGACGTGATGCATTTTCGCACCATTTTGGTGCATCTAATTTTGATGAAATCTTGACCCTTAGATCTCACAATCTAAAGCACCAGATTCATTCTCATTTCTCTCCTAAGATTGCATATATATAGGGGCCGGTTCTCGTGAGAATGCACCTTGTGGAGAGAAATGAGAATAAAATCTAGCCGTCGGATCTGATGCATCGTGCGGCTCAGATTGCATCCTGCGCTCAGATTTTGAGATAGTGCATTTTCGAAGGTTTATGGTGCATTTCGACGTGATGCATTTTCGCACCATGTTGGTGCATCTAATTTTGATGAAATCTTGACCCTTAGATCTCACAATCTAAAGCACCAGATTCATTCTCATTTCTCTCCTAAGATTGCATTCTCACCAGAACCAATATATATATATATATATATATATATATATATAAACTCACTTTCTTGTTTAAGGAAAAAAATTAAATAAAAGATAGAAATTTAAAAAATGTCACTAATGTGGTCATATTATTCATTGATGATATTATTATTAGTATTATTCTTATTTTCTCAAAGATTCTATTGCAAGCTGAGACAATTTTTATTTACTCCGTATTTAGAATTAACTCATCACATTAATTATTATTAGAATATTAGTTAATCACTGATGATTTTTTCTTTTCGCTTTAATTTTAATGGGTGTTATTAATTTTTTTATAGGGAATTTTGATCAATGGACTATTCCCAGGTCCGGAAATTCGAAATGTCACCAATACAAATGTGATCATCAACGTGTATAACAATTTAGATGAGGGGTTTCTTTTATCTTGGTACGTATTTTATTATTATTATTATTACTAATAATATTATCATTATTACTCCTTCTGTCTCAAAATTATCTTCCTGTTAGCTTTTTCACGGTCTTCAAAATATTATTTTGACCATTAGTATCTCTATTTATATATAATTTTATATTATAAAATGAATATATTCATATTAAATTTATATCATAATTCAATACTCCCTCCGTCCATAAATAATCTTCTCGTTGCGCGTTACGATGTTTGACTGAAGTTATTTTCAAATCATTTTATATGAAAAATGGTTTAAAATTTAAAAATAAAAATTACATATTAAAAAACTATATCAAAAGAACTACAAAAATAGAGGTGACATGACTATATTATTTTATCAAATCGGTGACGAAAATAGGGCAACAGCAAAGTGAATAAAGCTTGACACTGTAAATAGTGAATGAGAAATTTATTTGTGGACGGAGGGAGTTCTATATTTTATGGTCAAAGTTAGAAAATTCTGACAAAGAAAAAGCAAACAGGAAGATAATTTTGGAAGGAAAGGAGTATTATTGTTGTTGTTGTTGATGATGTTGTTATTTCTGTTATATTATAATTTTACCATTATTTTAAAATTTATTTCTAAAAATGTGATGCGAGGTGGGTCTAGAGGAAGTTTCCCGAGAATTGTAGTGTAGGAATCATTAATTTGTGAATATAAAAATATTAATCGAAACTTTTTTTTGGGATTTTTTTCATCCAAATAATCTCACCTTTTCACGCTCTTCCAAAAATAATCTCAATTTTCATTATCACGGAAAATAATCTCACTTTCTTGAGCGATCATCTGAATTATTTCTTCGATAGTTCAATATTATATTTTCCCTAGAAGAGATTATGAAATTTGTAAATCGTTATATTTTTTAAAAAAATATTGAGACAAATCTCTAATAAGAGTGTATTGTTATATTTTTAAGAACATAAATTTTTTGTAGAGCATATTAATAAAAACTAAAAAGGCATGGACATGGTTGTTGGAAATTCTTTAAATAAATTGGACATTTTTGGACATAAATTCGGTAGGATTCACAAAATTATTTTCCGAAATAATTATGGACATTTAATCTCGTAAGTAAGACGAATGTCTTGACATATTACACGCCATAAACGGTGCTCGGGTGAATGAGAAATTAATTCTCAAAGTTCAATATGAGGGAAGACTAAAAACTCTTGTCCCACACCGGTTTTGAAACTTTTCATATTCTCATATTTAAGCTTAGGCTTTTAATTGAGATTATGAAAGGAACAAGAAGAGGACTCCTTGCGTGCCACTGCCGCCGTCTGGCTCAGCACGCGCGCGCGTCAGGTCGCGGCGAGGCGTGTCTGCGGCGGGGCAGGGCTAACTTTTTACGAGACCGAATCAAACACGCGTGTACACTTAGTTAATAACGAAGTGTATGGAGTTAAAGCATGCATGCACTTACGTATGAAGAGTCACTTGACTCTTCGTAATGTACGACAGGTCCAGCAAGGAGTCCAATTCCTCTCCTATAAAAGGAGGGCTCGGCTGCAGGGATAAGACACACTCGAAAAATCTCTCTATGCGTTATACAAGCTTTCCGACTATCTCCCATTTCCGATCATCTTCTCCGGCGATAACTTTCCGTCGTTCTCGTTCGCCGGTGCTTTGTTCTACCGCTCTAGACCTAGCACGCTGCGGTTTTATCCTGGGAGGAGATTGCCCACGTTTTGCCAATGCGGGAGGCAGGCAATACTACCTTAAGGAAAGCTCCGGCGACTCCGCTTTTCTTACCTACGCTTCCAGAAACATCTCCGGCGACCCTTTATTTTCATCCGACGCAGCTTCCGTTTGTGTTCTTGCATCCGTTCGAGCTCTCGAAGAACTCGAATTATTTTTCTCTTTATTTTTCGTTGTAAAATTCGAACATTTTATAAGTTCTGATTATCATATTTTATTTTATTCCTGCTGTAATTTTTTCATCAATGGTGTTATTTGTGGCATATATGCAGGAATGGAGTGATAAACAGGGGGAACCCATACCAAGATGGAATGAGTGGGACCAATTGCCCAATCCCACCGGGGCAAAACTTCACATACAAGTTACAGCTCAAGGACCAAATCGGAACCTTCTTCTACTTCCCGTCGCTGGCTTTCCACAAGGCCGCCGGCGGCTTCGGACCCATTGCCATTTTGAACCGGTCCATCATCCCTCTCCCCTTCCCTCCGCCGGCGGATGAATTCACTTTCCTCATCGGAGACTGGTACAATGCCACTCACTCGGTAAGTAGGGATGGATACCACTCTTACTATTACGGCTGCTTGTGAAATTTTTTTTGTTGTTCGAATATTTTTATTAATAATTTCATAAAATAAAATATTTTTTTCAAATTTTGTTTTATAGAGTTTTTTTAATATACTTTTGAATTGTGTAATTAATACTTTTTATTTCTATACTAATTTGTAATTACAATGATTTTAAAAATGATGCGATTTTACACGTTGTTTGAAGTGTGGTCTCTAATATGGGACGGAGGGAGTATTACATACTCAACTAAAATGGAAAATAACCCGTTTTCCTCATTCAATCTGATTGATTTTGATTTGATTTTAATAAATTTTGATTTAGTCTTGTCTGATCTAATTAAAATTATATTAAAGGCTATTTTGTACTCCCTTCGTCTTAAAACTATTTTCCCAGTTACTATTCACATGGTCAAACTTAAACCATTTTCTTTACCTATTTTCAGTAGTTATTTGATAAAATAATATAGTCTTGTCACATCTTATTTTGTAGAACTTTTGGTGTAGTTTTTAAATAAATAAATTTTATTTTTTAATTTTATACCTACAATCAAATAAATTAAATTCAAAATAAAGTCGGTCAAACCTCGTAAACACAAACAGGAAGATAGTTTTAGTACGGAGGGAGTATCTTATTTGAACAAAAATTGGTAATACTTCCTCGTTTCATAAACTCATTATTCACCATTCTTTTTTCTTTGTCCCACAAAGTTGTTTCTTTTTCTATTAAAAAATCATTTTTATCTTTACTAATTTTTATCATACATATCACATCATATTTTTTTACTAATAAGTACTCCCTCCGTTCCACAAAACCCTTCCGGTTTTGACTTTAGAGAAAAATAAGTGTAATTTTGGTTGACTTTTCAATTTTGCCCCTGATGTGATGGAAAAAAGTAAGATGTGATAGTTTGGTTATTAGTGAAAAAATATGATGTGATAGGTAGGGTATGAAAAAATAGGAGTAAAAGTGGTTTTTTAATGAAAAGTGGAAGTATTTTGTGGAAAGCAAAAAAAATGAAAGAAGAAGGGTTTTGTGGAACGGAGGGAGTAATAAGTTATCTATCACATTCTACTATTAGGTATTACATCAAGTGCATTTTTGGAAAGTCAACACAAAAAATCTTTTTCTTTATTTTCTTAAAAGTCAAAATGTGAAGGACTTTAGGGGATGAAGGAAGTAAGTAATAAGAATAAATTTCTGCCCCCACAGCTCCGCTCCCTCTTCTCCAATTGACCGCATTGATTACTATAGCCAATAGGCAAAAGAAAGAGAGACTAAAGGAGAGGTTAAGAGATAGAAATCATCAATTTTTCGATTTTAAATTGCTTTTTAATTTCTTCTCTTCTGCTTCTCTTTTTTGTTTATAATTCGGATGGGAAGGACAAATGAAAACCCGTATATGTTTTACACAGGCATTGAAAGGAATTCTTGATGAGGGGGGAATTGTTTATGGTGGCCAGAACAAGAGTTTGTTGCCTCCCCCTGATGCAATCCTTATCAATGGAAATGGCCCTAGGGGACTTAACAATGATAGCGGTTGGAATTTCACCCTTGAAGCAGGTTAGAGAATGATTTTAATTACTATCTTTGTCCTGGAGTATTTGTCCAGTTTTGATTTTTTTTAGTCAACTGTTTTAACCTTTGACCTATAATTAAATAAAATATATATTGTATTTTAATTAAATAAAATAGTCTTTTGAAAATATTTAATATAATAAATCTAATAAAACTTTTTTTGTATCAATATCTAATATCATTTTTATTTAATTTGAAGTCAAAGTTTAACAATTTTGACCGAAAAAGTCAAAAGTTGACAAATACTCAGGGACGGAGGGACTATTTGCCTATTATTCCTTTCATGTCACTGTGTGTTTCTATGTGTCGTTGCTCATTGATTTATTTCTAATAGGTAGTATTTTTACTTATAAACTACTTATAAGTTAAAACTTGTTTCGTGTAGATAAAATGACTTAAATAAAATATAAGTCATTTGAGGATATTCATAATAGGTGAGAGATAGTTTTATGAGTAATCTGGTCAACATGGAGAAATGAAAAAACTGACTTAAAAATAAGCAGGTAAGACCGACCTACTTATTTTTTTGATTTATAAGTGAGCTTATAACACACAGGAACATGTCATCTGCTGATTTAGAAGTTAAAAACAACTTATAATCATGGAGAAACACTCACTTATACTTCCTCCATCCCAAAATTGATTATAACTTTTAGGCCCCTGACCCCTCGATAGCTTTATTTTATTTGTGTATTTTAATTGGTTAATTGTAAAATAAAATATTCGTGTCACCTTTTATTTTATAAAATGTTAAGCAGTTTTTTACAGAGTAATATGGAAATTTTGTTTTTTATTTTTATACCAATTTTTAAGTAAAATGATTTAGAAAAAATACAACATTTTACGTCGTAAGACGAAAATTGTAATCTAATTTGCGAACGAGGGAGTATTAATTTACTCCCTCACGTACTACCAAGTACCAACGCGTACACTTTAAAACATTATGCAGCATAGATAATACGCGTAGTTGGCTCGGTGTAATGGGATAACACTTGTCCCAATTGAAGTACTTGAAGTAGTGTCAGATTAGTAAAATTGATTATTCATATCTTTAACTCCTGATAAATCCCTCACCTTGTCTCGACTCAAACCCAAGTCTTACTATCTTTAATTACACCTCCAAAATTTAGTTAACTTTTAAGTAAAATAACATCTGTTTTTACAGGAAAAACATACCGATTGAGAATATCTAACGTGGGACTGGAGAGTTCCCTGAATTTCCGGATCCAAGGCCACGCCATGACACTGGTGGAGGTAGAGGGGACATACACACAGCAGAAAGTCCTAAGCTCTCTCGACGTTCATGTCGGGCAGTCCTATTCTGTTCTCGTGACGGCCGACCAGACTCCCAAGGCTTACCACGTCGTCGTTTCGAGCCGCTTTTCCCGGAGCAACCTAACTACCACCGCGACACTTCGCTACAGTGGTACCGACCCGTCAGCGGCTCCCGTTGGGCCCATCCCTGAAGCACCCCCCGCTCTCGACATTAATTCGGCTATGGCATCTTCCTTGAACGATATAAGGTAAACACATTTTGACACTATATATAGATAGATTGAGAACATGTTCTAATCGTCTTATTTTTATTACTTACAGACTACAGGGTAATACTCCCTCATTTCTATAAAGTGTTATCCATTTTGACTAAAGTTGAAATTAAGGGAGTGATAATTTTGTGTTGACTTTCCAAAAATACCCTTGATGTGATGGGTAAAAGTAGGATGTGATGTGTAGATTATTAGGAAAAAGGTATGATGTGATAGGTAGGGTTTTAAAAAGTAAAGGGTAAAAGTGGTTTTTAAATAGAAATGGGTAAGGGATTGTGGGACGCAATTTTTTTGAAATATGTAAATCTTTTTGGGACGGAGGAAATAATTCATAGTGTTCGAGGCTTGTCTTTATCAAAAAAAAAAATTATATTTTTAAATATATCAAAGCATGCAAATCAAACCAATCAGCTAGGTTAGACAAAGAGAACACGTTCTGGAAGGAGTTGGAAAAAAACTGGAAGGAGTTGAAAAATGTTGGAAGAGTTAAAACCAATCATCTTCTTACGAACATTTACACACATCTGACACACACTCTTCTTGTCTGTGAATGTCTATAAAGAAATGAGGTAAAAATGGGGTCAAATTGAGGTTCCATAAGCATAACTTTTTTTACCCATATTTCGAGTAATTATTATTATTATTATTATGAGGATTTTATCTAAATAGCATTAAAACATAATGAATTTTCCTAAATAGCGTCATATGTATTTTTCTTTCCAATGTACTCCCTCTGTCCCTAAATAAACTTCCCTTTTTGACTTTTTGAGGATTTAAGAGAGTGATATTTTTGTGTTGACTTTCCAAAAATACCGTTGATGTGATGTGTAAAAGTAAGATGTGATATAGATTATTAGTAGAAAGATATGATGTGATAGGTAGGGTATGAAAAAGTAAGGGGTAGAAGAGGTTTTTTAAGGGAAAAGAGAAGTTTATTTGGGGACAAAGAAAAAACGATAGGGGAAATTTATTTAGGGACGGAGGGAGTAACACTTTTAGTCATTATGCATTAGTTATTATTCAAGCAAATATTTACCATCACTGGACATCAAGAACATTACTCCCTCTGTCCACCATAGATCTTCCCAGTTACTATTCACAGGGTCAAACTTTACTCACTTTGTTTGCTCATTTTTACTAGTCATTTCGTAAAATAATATAGTCTTGTCACCTCTAGTTTTGTAGAACTTTTCATGTAGTTTATTACTATATAAATTTTATTTTAAAATTTTACTCCTATAATCAATTAAATTGAATTAAAAATAAAGTCAGTCAAGCCTCGTAACGCGTAATGGAAAGATCTTAAGTGGACGGAGGGAGTATTATTTAGTGTTGTTTAGGAAATAAAACAGTTTAAATGTTATTTAGGGAAATGATTAAGTTTTATTACTATGGTTGTTGTTGTTATTGTTGACTTGTTATTGGGGATGCTATTATTATTATAAAAGGACGAATCTAGAAGTAAGTGGAGCACGACCAAACATACAAGGCTCATTTCATTACGGTACGATTAACGTGACAAGGACTATAACTCTGGCCAACTCCGCCGGTCCGGTGGCCGGGAAGCTGAGATACGCCGTCAACGGCGTGTCTTATGTGGGGCCATATGACGGCACTCCGCTCCAGCTTGCCGACGAGGATGGCATCCTGAACGTCTTCCTGCCCGGAAACATGCCGAACGATTCGGCCATTGTGGGTCCCATTCGCCCCGACACCGCCGTCATGAATGCGGACTACAGGGATTTCTTCGAAGTCGTGTTTCAGAACGACGAGGATACGATGCAGACGTGGCACTTCAACGGAATCACGTTTTTTGTCGTGGGGTATGTGGGCTCTCCCTCTCTCTCCCTCAACATATTTGGGTCTAATAACATTGTTTTTTAATACTCCGTATATATAAGAGTGAAAGAGTAAGAGAGAAAGACCAAAGTGGAACTAAAACATTGAAAATATACCAAAATATGATTTTCATATTTTTATTTTTGAAATAGGACTTGCATTACCAAAATAGGACTTCCATGTTTTTATTTTCGAAATAGGACTAACATTACTAAACATGGTCATATGCATTACCAAAAAAGTACAGTAATGTGCACATGTACACTGCCACATTACTACAGTGCAAAGTCACATTACCAACGTGCAAAGTCTAATTTCGGGAAAAAAACATGAAAATCATATTTTGATACTTTTCTTTATGTTTTAGTCATATTTAGGGTGAATTCTAAAAGCCTAAAGTAAGACTAAAACATTAAAAATATATTGAAATATGACTTTCATGTTTTTATTCCCGAAATAGGACTTACATTACCAAACATGGTTATGTACATTACCAAAAATGTATAGTAATGTGCACATGTACATTGTCACATTACCACAATGCAAAGTCTTATTTCGGAAAAAAAACAAGAAAATCTTATTTTGATACTTTTCTCTATGTTTTAGTCCAATTTAGGGTGATTTCTATATATAGAGTCTCTAGTTCTAAGATATATTATATTTCTTTCGTCTCGAAAAGTCTTTCACGTTTCTAAAAATCCGTGTCCCCAAAAGTCTTTCTCATTTCTATTGAAAAACTACTTTTACCCTTATTTTTTCATACTCTACCTATCACTTCATAACTTTTTTCTAATAATCTACATATTCCATCCTACTTTTACCAATTACATCAAAGGTATTTTTGGAAAATAAACATAACATTATTCCTCCTTTATTTACAACTTTAGTCAATATGTTTGTTAGAGTGTCATCCCACATCTGAAGTTCGAGAGCAAAATAATCGGTATATAAGTTCTTGAGTTGAACTAACTAATTAATCGATTGGATTCAATCTTTTAATGTGGTTTAGCCCAACTGTCTTATTACCCAATCTACTTGTCCATACACATCCTAAATTCTATCAATGTTCATATCTTTATGGGACGGAGGAAGTATTTTTTATTCTCTATATTTGAAAACGATTCCATAATCACTCATTTGATGTAAATATTATTTTTTTTCATTATGAAATAATTCTCAAACATAGAGGATTAGAGGAATAATATATTGGAGTAAAATATTAAGTAAAAAGTTTGATTTGGACTTACATGTATATAATGTTTGCCACATCCATATATGTAGAATGGGGGCCAACAAATGGACAAACGCCAGCAGGAATTCATACAATCTTAACGATGCAATTTCGCGATCTACGACTCAAGTAAGATACACATACTATGCTTTTTAGAATAAATTCCATAAATAGTGTCTAATTATATACTCCCTCCGTCCTCCTAAGATGTTCTAATTTTGACTTTTGGTGGTGTTTAAGGAAAGTTGAAAAAAGGTGAAAGTTTACCATAATACCCTTAATGAAAATGGATGGAGTGTATTAAATGAGGTGGGTGATTGTGGTATTTTAATTGTTAAAAAATGAAATGGGTAGATCTATTGTGGACAAAGAAAAAGGGCTATTGGGAAGATCTATGGGGGCGGAAGGAGTATAATTTTTCACATTTAGTCTCTAGTTAGTAGTTATAAGATATTCTATAAACAGTTTTCAATTTTTCAAAAATATTCCACAAACATTACTTTCACCAAATATGACAAAATTAAATATTTTGAGTAAATTCTCAAAATGATCATTTTTATTAAGGTTTTTTCCAAAGTAATCATCAATAAGCAAAAATTACTAACGTGGTCCTTTATTGTTTCTTAAATAGTCTTTTATCAAAAATATCTATTATATGACAGTTAAATGAAGGGTATTTTGATGCTCTTTAAAAAAATTATTTTTAAGACTTATTATATTCATAGGTGGTTTACCGGGGGGTTAGGGGGGTAGGAATCATCAATTTCATGAACGGAGCTCCGTAAGGGGGTAGTGGCTTCCGTAGCCACTGGATTCCAGTGGCTATGGAACCGGCCTCTAGTAGAAATTCATGGACAGCAGGTATTACTATTAGTATTATTATCATTCTTACTATCATCATCATCATCATATCAATCCCGATCGAGCAGGTATATCCAAATTCATGGACAGCAGTACTTGTGTATCTGTCGAATGGAGGGATGTGGAATGTGAGATCCGAAGTTTGGGCAAGGCAATACCTCGGACAGCAATTCTACTTGAGAGTTTTCATGACTTTCCCATTTCCTAAGGAAAAACGATCCGCTCCAGAAAACGTCATCCGATGCGGAAGGGCTATTAATCGTTTCGCGCCTCCGCCTCCGCCAACCCCACCCACTCGATCCCCCGCACCCACTCCATCCCCACCTTAATTGTGCCCTAATTGGTATTGGTGTGGTTGTTGTTGTTGTTTTTATTTTTATGTGTGGCATAAGTGCTACAATGTTTAATTTCAGTGGTATTAATATTTTCAAGTGTATGTACTCGAGCTTCCCCAAAGAATATAAGATCTTTTCTTGAAATCTAATTTTGTTTTAAGTCTGATGATGTCTCCCAATAAGTTTAATTTGGTTTTGTGCTCTTTTCTCGATAATTTTTGTTTATTTGTGTGTTTTCATTGATTATTTGATAAAATAATACTCCGTATATTCTTGTCACCTCTTATTTTGTAAAAATTTTGGTGTAGTTTTTAACATACAATTTGTATTTCTTATTTTTGTATCTATTTGTAAATAAAATGATTTAAAAAATCGTATGGCTTTACCTCGTAATTCCCATTTTGTAATCAATATATGGACGGAGGGAGTACTATTTAGTTGCGATCGAGATTATACCTCCTTCGGTCATAAAAATCTTTCCTGTTTTGAGTTTTTTAGTTAAATACTGACACTCTTTGACAACAAAATAAACATAACCTAAGTAAATAAATGATACTCCCTCCGTTTTTTAAAACACTTCCTCTTTCATTTTTTTCACTTCCAACAAAACACTTCCTCTTTACATTAAAAAACCACTTTTATCCTTACTTTTTCATACCCTACCTATCACATCATACTTTTTCTCTAATAATCTATCCATCACATCTTACTTTTACCCATCACATCAGGGGCAAAATTGGAAGTCAACTATAATTTTACACTTCCTTATTTTGGCTCCAAGTCAAAGTAGGAACCTTTTTTACAAACGGAGGGAGTATAAAATTTGATATATCAAAATTATATCCTAACATAAATCTAATTATATTGAATTTATATTCTAATTATGCATACTTTTCTCCCAATTTATAGTCAAAATGTGTCACTATTTGACCAGAAAAAGTCAAAACAAGAAAGGTTTTTAGGAACATAGGGGAGTATATATTAATGAGACGGAGGGGATGTTAATGCATGTGGTGTTTTTGGAAGTGGATTACAATTCAAAACTTTCTTAATTTGGTCTTTGGTCAAAACGGGAAAGATTTTTCCAAACGGATGGAGTATGTTATTTCAAGAGTGTAATTGGTTTGGTTGGAGGTATATCATCATACTCCCTCCGAGTAAAAAAAGAATTCTTGTTTCTTTTCTTAGACGTCTAAAAACGATCTCTTCTTTTTCTAAAAAACAATATTAAAACACAATCTTTTTATCTCTGGTATTTCACTTTCAAATTTAAATCTTTATTTTCTTTTAAATTATATGTCAATTCAAAGTAGAAGTCTTAGATTCAAGGTTGCATGTATCTAAATGGGATAAATCTAGGTGCACCCCAAAATGGGGTACCCTATTTGTATTCCAGTTATTCACCGACATACAAACTCTCCATATCTGTGTGTGCACAGATATGGAGAGTCTGTATGTAAGTGAGAATAACTGGATACACATATTTTTCATTATTTAAATACCAACTATATTTTTAAATATTCTAATTCATAACAAGTTATACATTTCTTTTGCTTTTTTACACTTACACATTTACGGAGTATAAATTATTACAAAAAATATTTAAAAAAAGTGAAGGCAGAACAAACCGGTCTGGTACGGTGCCAGAACCGCCAGTGCGGGTACCGGGCCGGCACCGTGAGCACCGGGACGGGCAACGATTTAATGGGGTGGCAATACCGGAACTGCCGATTCCAAAACTGGAACCGTACCGTGTGCACCCTAAGTAGACCTTTAACCACCTAATTATCGTACACTGCAAAAACGTTTTTAATATACGTAGTATGAAAATTTCCAACTGCTCAAATTAAGACAATATTTTAATGCTCTGTAGTTGTACACTTGTCCTGCGCTTTTATAAAAATTCAGCAGCCATTGATAAATCTTAGCTGCCCCGAAAACTCATCTTCTTCCAATGGCGACCGCCGGCAGCTCCGATTTCGATCCTCAGCGGATTGTTTCCCACGAGTTTCCCGAGGTACACATCCCATTATCATCATCATCATCTTCTTCTTTTCCTCCAGTTTTTTCGTTCTATGGATTTCACTCTTGGTTCTTACTGATCTTACTCGAATTTTGTTTTTTATTTGTTTTTCATTCTCAGGCGGAATACACTTACACAGAGAGGTAAACTCGCGAAATCCCGGAATACACTCTTTCCGTTTGTTTATTTTTTGTGTTTTAATCAATAGTTCGATTAGATTTTCGTTGAAATGGAAGTGTTTCTGTTTGTGGCGATTTAGAGATGTTGCTTTGTATGCGCTGGGTGTTGGAGCGTGTGGGAAGGATGCTGTGGATGATAAAGAGCTGAAATTCGTTTATCACTGCGATGGTCAGCACTGTATCCAGGTTGATCACAACCTGTTTGATGAAATTACTTATACTAAGAAGATAGTGAAATAATTCATTTTGTATAATGAATCATATAATTTTCTTTACTATATTAAATGTGGATTAAATGCTAACAAATCATTTTGTACTTCGCGAGCTAGTTCACGGGTTAAAGGACTGAGTGCTTTGAATCTTGAACTTGGTTTGTTTATTTTGACGAGATTCGTGAAGAGACCTTGAATGAGGTTTTATTGAACTGAGAGCGGAATAGTTGACAGCAATCTCGGTTCATCTTGAACGGGAGTTAATGTTTGAAGGAAGAATGAATGCACTTGAAGTACTTATTCTTTCTATTTATGGCTGCAGGTGTTACCGACTTTTGCTGCTCTATTTTCTATAGGATACAGTGAGACAATAGCGGAGGTACCAGGCTTACGGTATGTCCAATTCTGAAGCAAGGGGATGTGCTGCCTGCACTTCTGTTATACGAAACAATCCTACTTCATTGGGCTATATAAGGTTCAAGCTCGAGCTTGAAATGAGTTGAATTTGAGCTCGAGCATGAAATGAGTTGAGTTTGAGCTTGATTCCAAGCTAGATATCTTAACGAGCCGTGCTTTATCCGGATTCAGAATATGTTCTCGTTGAGCTGGAATATGCAATATTTGTGCTTGGCTTGAATAACATTAGGCCCCGTTTGGTACATGGAATTCAAACTATGGAATTGGAATTGAGGACTTCAATTCCAATTCTGGTGTTTGGTAGCACAAAAATTATGTGGATTTGGAATTGATAGTGCAAAAAATGAATTGGAATTGGCAGAATTCAATTCTATGGAATTGAATCCCATGGAATCTCAATTCCAATTCCGTCAATTCCGTATACCAAATGGACCCTTAGTTATCTTGTACTCTTTCCATCCCAATTTTAAGTTCCCATTGCGGTTTACGATGCTTGGCTAAAGTTCTTTTCAATTAAATTTATTTGATGGTTGGTGTGGAATTTAAAATAAAATTTATATATTCAAAAACTACATCAAAAGTTTTACAAAACAAGAGGTGGCTTGATTATCTTATTTTATCAAATGATTAATGAAAATATGCAAGGAAAGAAGATAAAGTTTGACCGTGTGAATATTTACAAAAAAACTAAGAACATAAATTTGGGACAGAGGAAGCATGTGTTTCTAAGCGCACTCCTTTTGTGAAATTGTAGAATTGTTTTTCTATCTGATGCTACCTGGATGGGTTCCCCCCTTTTTCTAGATATGATCCACGTCTTCTGTTGCATGGACAACAATATATTGAAATCTACCGACCGCTTCCTTCAAGTGGTTCAGTAAGTTCCTGAACTTAGGGATTGATATATAACATGTTCACTTGCATAAGTATGTTTTGTGTTTAATTTTGTGTTCCACATATCAATAATGACATTAAGCATTTTCTCCTGACTTTTTGGATGCTAAACATTATAACTACAGGTGTGAAGAATATGTAGTTCCCTCAATTATTAGGGATTTACAGATTTATCATAACGTAAACAGTATCTCAATCAGTGAAAATGTTGGCTAGCCACATTTTGGGGCATAATTGGGAACAAAGGATATTTTACACTTTTTGGTTCCAACTTCCAACAACTATTAGGTCATTCCCACTTTGGTCACCAACTTCCCTTTTCCACACCTTTGGTGCACAACTACTGATTTCTTACTTTTAGTCCTTTTCAGTTACTTATTCAGCAAAAATCAACCATACATTGTCATGTTGTACGTAAATTAAAATTAGCTGGATAAATTGTAAGGAAGACCCAAATAGAATGAAGTCCATTGTAGTGTATTTGAAGTGGGAAAGGTTAAGGTCAGGGGCAAAAAAAAAACGACCTAATAGTCATGGGACTAAAGTTGCAATCTTTTTTTATAACCAATAAGTCCTCCAAAGGGCAAAGACCAATAACTCTATATACGACGTGTGTGTCTGTGTGTGTATAGATATAATAACATGGAAAGTGTTGTTTGGTAATAGTGAAAAATATTACATTTCAAAGGCATATAACATTCATGCATCCAGTTTCTTATTTCAAAATAGAAATTGTAACCATTTTCTGTAATGCCTTTTATCTTATTGATGCAGGTGATAAATAGAGCTAGTATTGCTGGATTGCATGATAAAGGTCTGCTTTAAAAATAGACGTCAATCTATGAAATTAAGAGCCCCTTTGTAAAGCTTGAAATGTCTAATTGGCTTAATGTGCTTAAGCTGTAGGTTTGTTGCTAGGCCGTAATGGTTGATTTATCAAAAATATATATTTTGAAAAAAATATAAACGAAATAGTACTTTATACGAGTATAAAAATAAAGGTTGACGTGTCATTTTCATAAAATTCATTCATGATAGCCTAAAAAGTAACATTTTCCTTACTTTCACTATCAATTTAGCCAGCATAATGAAGTTCAGTGAAAAAACAGGTTGTTAAGCTGACAACATATCCTAACAAACCAGCTCTAAATCTTCAAGTAGGATGGACCTGGGAAACCTCAACAACAGTGAAATTCAGATTTAATTCTTTAGTTGAGACGCATTTAAAAATTAATGAGTCTGAGTCCATCTTCCATCTTCTTTGATAGGAAAAGCGACTATTTTAGATGTTGAAATTAAAACCTTTGAAAAAGACTCAAATGAGCTCCTATGTATGAACAGGTATACTTTGTCCTCTAAATCTTCTAGTGTGCGCCTTTGTCGTTATGCAGTTGCTACCTGATCACTTTGCAGGATGTCTGTTTTCTTGAGGGGTGCGGGTGGCTTTTCAAAGTCTTCCAATCTTTACTCATATTCCAAATATCCAGCAAGCCAAACAACTGTTCCAAAAATCCCCAATCGCCAACCATTTTTTGTTTTAGAGGAATGTTCGCAGCCATCACAGGCATGTAAAATAGATCAACTTTGGGATTTATCAATTTTAAATCTTTTATCATATTTTGGCTTCATGATCAGCGTTCTAAAAACCTGCCTAGGCAGGCTGAGGTGGTTTCAATTTTTTTCAAATATTTTTTATGTGGCTGAATGGCGCTACTTTATTCACAGTTATTAATGTTGAAACAATAAGTCAATATATACTTAATGTATTGTGTTTTTCCAAGGTGTTGAGTTTACGTCTTGTAACACTTTTAATCTAGGACATATTGGACTTTGATCTCATTGTAATTATATAGTCATCATTTTTCCATAAATAAGCATTTACATCAAAAAATGGTAGATACTTGGATATTATTTTATTTAAAAGAACAACCATATAGTAAAACGAATAATGTTTGTTTCGCATTTCCTGGCCATCTTCTGTTGCCTGCTTGTCCCCTTTCGCCTTCTTTAGCACTGTGCATAACGCATCTCTTTCATGGAATCATTTGATTATTTTATCTAGTCCTACTCATTAAACGTGACGTGAGTTTTTTACCCTGATGTAGGCATTATTGTATAGGCTCTCTGGTGATTACAATCCCTTACATTCAGATCCGGGCGTTGCAGAAGTGGCAGGGTATTGTGGTTATTATAGACTTTTAGTTTTATTCTCCAAATGCCTATTCAAGTGACAAGGTTATGAGATATTTATAGACTTCCAGATATTTACTTTATTTGAATGATTGTTCTTCTAGAGCTCTTTTTGTTACGTATGGAACTCGTAAAATGGTAAGGGAATGAAAAAGAGTGAACGAAATGTTTTGTATTACCTTAAGATAACATGAGGAAAAGTTCTGCTTTGATTAAAACTTTTTATAATTTCACATTCATTTAGATTTCATAGTCTTTACTCTTTAATATTGTAGAAATCAATAAATAAAATTAGTTTGAACAAATTTCTGAATTTGATCTTTTGGGTTTGAACCAGTTTTCGTTTTCCCTTCAAATATCCTTTCTTCCTAGTGTCCTCTTAATTTCCTCACCTTATTTCTTTTCTCTAATATTTTCCAGGTTTTCTCGCCCTATATTGCATGGGCTATGCACACTTGGATTCGCAGTCAGGGCTATCATTAAATGCATCTGCAGAGGAGACCCAAACATGATAAAGAGCATTTCTGGCAGATTTTTGTTGCATGTGTACCCTGGTGAAACTGTAGTAACAGAAATGTGGCTTGAAGGTTTGAGGTTAGTTTTATTCATGAAAGACTGATGAATGCTGTTTATTCATTCTTTTAAGTCCCTCTCAACATTTAATGCCACACTGGACTACGCCGAAGTGACTATACACACATCAAAATGAATACGGTGAAGCATTGGCCTATTCATCATAACAGCGTTTTACAATAACTCTAACGAGCAACTCAAGCTCCATAAAAACTAAATGAGCACACAAATTTCAAGATTCGTGTGGTCCATCGAGCCATCATTTTGGAGGGAATGTTACGGAATCTCACACGAATCAAAATACATGCATAAGCCTAAGTGCCTACCCACATGAATTGGAAACAGCCTCTCTACTTTCGAGTAGGGGTAAGGCATGCGTATTGCGTACCCACGCCCTTCCTAGACCCTACTTTCTGTGGGATTGTATTGGGTTTGTTGTTGTAAGCCTAACAAGCAATATGAAGCATCTTTATATCTCATAACATTTTGACCTTTTAGAATGGAACCACAAGAAATCTTAATAGGTGACGCCAAGATCAATGATGGACACCATTTTTTTGCTACATAGCATTACTTTAAATACAAAAAGGCCCATACGATGTATATCGAATCTTTACTGTTGCTGCTACTGGAGCTGAATATGCCTACAACCACCCACAGTTTGAGGACTTAATTGGAACAAAAAATGCAGGGTCATATATCAGGTGAAGGTGAAAGAGCGCAATAGGGCGGTGCTTTCTGGTTTTGTAGATCTTCACCACTTAAACTCCTCATCTCTCTGACTCAAACGCCATGTTCTTTTCTCCATGAAATGTATAATGCCTTATGGGAGGGTTTGTTCTCATTACACGGCACACCGAACAATTTCCCTCTACACACACACACACACACGCCGACACACACACATTTAGGTAGCTATTCTCAATGTTTGTTCCATCATAGTGTGTTTATTATCCTTAAAGTTTGGAATTGAATAAGCCTCCACCCTTTTTTAGGCAGAGGTAATGTACTTTACAATCCCCAAACCCCACATGTGGTACCTTATTAAGTTGTCATTGTTGTTGTATTTGGAATTGAATAATATTGTCATTGTTGGAATTGAATAAGATTAGAGTGTTGTTATTGTTTCTCCCTGTGGTTATTATATGGCCCACCAATGTTGGGTAATTTTGTCCACCCCAGTTTAAAGGATGATGTTGATTGTTGAGAGGAGCAGATTGTGATTGCTCAAGTAATTCGTGTAAACGTTGACCTCTTGCCACTTGATTTTGACTAACCTTATCAAGATCAGAAGTAAATTGTGCAAAAGCCTCTAATTTTTGTGAATTGTGCAAGTTTTAATCTACTACTCCGTAGCTACTTGCTTCATGGCTTTAATTTGAATTGCGGAACCCACCTCCCAACATTAATAGGGGGTATAATTCCAGCATTGAATGAATAGATCACTGGATAAGAAAATTTGCCCCGCAAATTTATCTAAATTTGTATTGTATATTTCCCAATACAATTAAATAAATTATGAAAGTCCTCTAAAATAATCATTTTTTACTAATATATATTACTCCTTCTGTCCTAATTTATATTGTTTGTTTTAGTTTATGATGTTTGACTGAAATTATTTTCAAATCTTTTATATGAAAAATCGTGTAGAATTAAAAACATACTACATCAAAAGATTTAAAAAATTAGTGGTGACATAATTATTTTATTTTATCAAATGACTTACAAAAATAGAGAAAGAAAGTGATTGAAGTTTGATTCTCTGAATAGTAAACGTGTAATTTAACTTGAGACCGAGGGAGTTTCATTTTTATTAAATTGAAGTTCAAAATATGTTTTGTTTGACTCAAAAAATTATTCCAAATTGCATAAATAAACTAGGACATAGGTAGTATTACAGATTCTACTTATTGAGTTATTGAATGATCAATAATGTCATACCATTTACTTCTTCAGTATCAAGATGGTATATGTTGTGGCATTATTTTTTTTCTTCATAAAAAAATAATGCCAAAACATACACCATCTTAATATCGAAGAATATCTTTCTCATACTTAAAAGAAAAAGTCAATAAAATAATTGATATTTCTAGCCTTCAAGCCTCAAAGGTTTGGTGAAGGATTATATTGTGTTTAACATCTTAAGTCAGAATCATACTCCCTTCGTCCCGGAGTATTCGTCCAGTTTTGATTTTTGGAACTGTTCATCTAAGCACTTTGACTCATCAAATTCTCTCAATGTGTAAGCATAAATATAGTCATGTGTGATCTTGTTTGATTTGTCTTAACATATAGATTATTAATATATAATTTCTATAATTTTTTAATATACAAATTACAAGATAAAATGGATTAAAGAAGTATATTGGATGGTGTGTAAAAATGAAAGTGGACAAATACTCTGGGACGGAGGTAGTATTACACTCCTTTTGTCTCAATTTAAATCACTCATTTTGATTTACAATGCTTAATTGAAGTTATTTTCAATATAGAATTTATTTGAGATTTCAGATAAAATTTAAAAAAGTTACATATTTAAAAATTACAGAGTACATTAAAAGTTCTATGAAACAAGATGTGAAAGCCTCCTTACTTTCGAGTAGGGTCAATGTGTACATAAACAAATCCTTTCTAGACCTTACTTTTGTGAGATTCTATTAGATTGTTGTTGTTCTTGTTGTAAGTAATAAATATAGAAAAAGAGTAAATGAATTTTAACCATGTGAATATTAAATGTATAACTTTATTTAGGACGGATGGTCTACACATTAATCTAATTTAGATAATTGTGGTCTACACAATAATTTAAATGATCATATTCACAATCAAGTGGTTGATTCGCCCTGGAATTTATTGCCATATGTCTTTAATATATGTTATTTTCATGTAACATCATGGAAGATTGCTACACAAATTTTGTTGAAAAAATTCTCATATTTTTCTATTTTTTAAGAAGAAACATAAATTTTTAATTTTTTTTAACAAAATTCACATCACCTAAGAGTAATCTTTTGTATATTTTATACTTCCCCCATAGAATAGGAAAACTCTTTTGATTTCGTCTAAAAAAAATTCTATTTCTAGGAATTGAACGAGCACTAATATTAATAAAGAGATTATAAATATATATTACCTTATAATAAAGTTAATAGCATAAAAAATACTATTAGTAGAGGGATTATCAAAATATAGGGAGCATTATAGATTTTTCATTTGTGGTTCAGGGACGGATCTGGTAGCGAGTGTTCGGAAAGGGATCGGAGATGGGAGGAGGTCATGGACACGGCGGCGTTACGTATAAAGGGGTCACCATCCACCATCCCAAACGCTGGCATACCGTCACCGGGAAGGGATTGTGTGCCGTCATGTGGTAAGTCTTCTTCACCTTCCCCATTCATCTCCCTCCTCCACCAATCGACTCCCTGGAATCTCGATTCACCGATTCGCATTTCCTCTTTCAATTAATTCATAGTTCTACCATCCTTTAGGGCTCGCTCAATTTGAAGTTTGGATCGCAACTACTCGGACGAAAATGTACTCAATTTAAAGTGGAGTGATAGAGAGATTCTAGGGTTTAGAAACCCAATCTAGCCCATTACACTCGGGGCACCTTATTTTTCCTGATTTCTCTTCTTTTAAAGAAAAAATTGCTTGAGATTTAAATGAAATTGTGTTGTTCATATTTATTCTGAAATGGAGATTTGAAGGAAAAATGAAGATTAATCAGGGACAACCAAAAAGGAGGAGAGAAACAGAATCTGAAGTTCAGGCTTTTCACTTAATTATTTAATCTTTACTTTGTGTTTTTGTGCTTGCTATCTTGTGAGAAAGAGCATTTTTTTCTTGATTTTTATTAATGTTGCATGTTAACTGTGAAGTGATAGTAATGTATTTCCACATGTCCAATAGTCTCCTCATCTAACCTAACCAAACATATCAAGAACTCGGTCCGTCCCCTATTTAAGTTTCCACTTTCACTTGCATGCAGCTTAAGGAAAGATGAAATTAGGTGGTTGAAATGTATGTAGAGGAGAGAGAAATGATATGAACTAAACAATCGGTTCCTCAAAAGGAATCAGAACTTTATGGTGGGATGTCCAAAACAAACTGAGAACATAAATATAAAATATGGGATGAAGGGAGTGGGGTGGCTGCGGGGTGGGGGGATGAATGCAGACCTTACCCATACTCCAAGGAGAGTAAAAAGATGTGTCTTGTCATTGTAATGATCATTCTTCATTTTGTAGTTTTAAGTAGATTACACTATGACTAAAAGACTCATTTGTTATTTCAGGTTTTGGGTTCTGTACAGAGCTAAGCAGGATGGACCTGTAGTTTTGGTGAGCTCTCATTACTTGGTTTTTTTCGCAATTATGCTTCTCTTTGATTGTTCTTATATTGAGCCAGTACATGATATGGTTTTACTTAGGGGTGGAGGCATCCTTGGGAAGGTCATGGCGATCATGGACATGATCGGCATTAGGTAATTTCTTTCACCATCTGTTATCCTTTTTCTTGAAAGTATATACTCAACCCCCTGCTTATTGGTGTTTTCAGAATGTTTTTATATGAAGTTCTATGATAATATTTTTCGCAGTCCATACACAAATATTAATAGCAATCTAATGTGATGAAGAAACATTACTACATATGATATCTACTTAATGTTTATAAAGTTGTGCATATTGGTGTAAATTAATGCTTTAAATCATGTAGCTCCAATTGTCCCTCTTAGGTCTCATTCAGTTGAAATGTAGTGATGAGGTTGGAATTGGGGATAAGGAATGAGTTTGAGAAAGTATGAGATCAGGTAAGATAAAATAAGGATCATTATATTTAAATTGATTGTTTGTTTTATATTTGGGAATAAAATTAGGGTTAGTTTATTCAGTTGTCGTTCTTACAAAAACAATAAACTAAGCAAGAGACCCTGTCTTGAGCATAGACGTTCAGACAAAGAAAACACATTAGCATGAACTAAGCAAGAGCACCGATAGAATGCACGCATACTAACAACTCCAGTTGTCATCCTTATTGGGGATTAAAACCCCCTGAAACTCCTGTTGGCGATGTAGGATCCCTTGATTTGTCATGGTGTAACCACTGTAGAACCAATAAAGTTGAGAATGACTTTGATACACGGGATGGAATGAGTTTGGGGGTAAATGTTTTGTAACCAAACACGATGTATGGATTTGGGATTACCAAATTCATGTCTGATACTCATTCCTTAGTGAACTCAAAGTGTTTCTTAATGGATGTCTCTGTTTCAGGTTTTGAGAATTCAAATTAGAGTGTGCATGGTGAATCGTGAGTGTGTAGTGTTTGGCACATATTAGTGCCTGCCTCATTTAACTAGGCACACAATTTTTTTAAAAAATAAAAATATATGGTTGAAATTTATTTAGAAGATTGGAAACTGATACAAATTACATATTGCTTTACTTTGAGTCCAGAGTCTCTTGAAAATAGTCTCCCTACTTCCGAGTAGGGGTAAGGTCTGCAACTCTGCATACACACAATTTTGTGGGATTACACTAGCTTTGTTGTTGGAAAGTTGTGGGGTTTCGCTTGTTTCTTCATCACTATGGAATTACGAGATTTCAATCCAAAACCAATAGGAAATGGAAAGAGCAATTCATATTTTTACACTCTGTATATAACTCCCTCTGTCCCAGATTAAAATGCTTGTGTAAGATTCACATGGTCTAAATTCTTCCACTTTACCTATTTTCAGTACTCATTTGATAAAATAATAGTCATTTTGCCTATTGTTTCATAAAATGTTTTTAAATACTCCCTCCGTCCCCTAAGATGTTCTCATTTTGACTTTTGGTGGTTTTTAAGGAGAGTTGAAAAAAGTTGAAAGTTTACCATAATACCCTTAATGAAAATGGGTGGAGTGTATTAAATGAGGTGGGTGAGGTGTAATAAATAAAGTAAGTGGGGGTAGTTGTGGTATTTTAATTGTTAAAAAATGAAATGAGAAGATCTATTGTGGACAAAGAAAAAGGGCTATTGGGAAGATCTATGGGGGACGGAGGGAGTATATAAATGTTTGTTTTTAATTCTCCCATAACTCACAAATAAATTAAATTGAAATAACTTCACTTGGATAATTTAATTTGGAATGGAGAGAGTAGTCTTTTTAGATTGTATTCGGTGTGAGACTAAATCCTTAACCCTCCTTGAAGTGCAACATGGGTCTTTTTGCCTGCAGTTGTCACTTGTTCGGATAGACCTAAACTTTTATTAAAACTTCGAGTCTTGACTCCAATACCATGTAGGATTATAAGATTCTAACCCAACACAAAGTGGCAATGGAAGAAGTAACTCAAGTTTTATTATACTCCTTATGCAGGTCCAATGTCGAGTTTGAGGCATGGTTGCTCTGTAAACTCTCACCTTGGTGAGCTTTTGTTGTATGTGTGGGATGATGTATTTGCCTTTGTATCATCAGTTCTTTGGTCTTTACAATTCAATAAGTGGGCAAAAAGGATATATTGTTGTTAATTGTTATCAACCAGACCATTCAAAAATCAGATCATTGTGCACTTAATTTTGCTTAATCTTTTTGGGTGCTGATGGAGTGCGTAGTATTAGTCTATGGGGGCAATGTCAAGTCATCCTTAGTCGATCTATAAATATATATAACCCAATCACTTTGGATCTTTTGACATTGATGTCTACCGTGCTCGTTGGTAAAATTGTTGGTTCCTATGCCTTCAACCTCCTCGAGCCAAATCTTGCTTCTTGCCTTAATGTAATATACAACAGAGTATGCTTAATACTCCCTCCGTCCAAATTTTACATTTCATTTGGACTTTACATGCATATTGGGATAAGGCTTTGTTGTTATTGTTGTTTGTTTGTTTGTTTGTTTCCCTTTTTGTCCTTGGGTATTAGGAGAAAAAGAGTGAAGTAAAAGTGGACGGTTCTCTTGACATTGGATTGCTTAGCAATGCCATGAGATGACCCAAGGGTCGTATGGTGCTTCATCAATTACTACCTCTATCTGAAAATGGATTTTTATTCGCTATTTAAAAATTATATTTTATTTTCTTTGTTCATTTATTTTAACTACTCATTATGTAATACGGTGTACAAGTTATGATATCTTTTGTTATGTATGATGTTTCATGTCGTTTTTTAATGTATAAAGTTTATTTTTGCATTTTATATCTACAATCAAATAAAGTAGATTGAAAATATAAAAAAGAAGTCCATTTAAACTTTTAATCTACAATGGGTAATTCAATTTCAGTCTAGTCTTTTATCAAAATTTAAGGACTAGATGAGTCAATCGGTCCAAGATTGGACTAGTCCAAAGGACCACATTTTCAAGTCTTACTCATTTCATTTTTAAGTCTTCTTCTCTTTAATTTATTTTTATTACTTATTATTTTTTTATTAAAATCAGATTAGATCAGACCAAATTAAAATTTATTCTAATCAGACATGAATCAATCAGATCGGGTAAAGAGAATAATGACCTTCCCTATCTATTCTTTATGGAAACTGCCAGTGAAGTTCCAACTAAAAAAGCCCCTTCCAGATTGTGTTTTAAAAAAGCCCATTTATGCTATAAAAAAATACTCCGTATTATTCAAGTCACCAAGGCTAATTTTAGGGCAAAAAAAAAGAATGAACCCTAAGATTTAGGGCAAAGCTTGACATAATTGTCATTAATCATTACTTATGAACTTAAATAACAATTATGTCAAAAGTTTAATACTCCGTACTCCGTAATCTAGTAGGAAAATAGAATTTCGAGACATTGGTTATCATTACGAGTATTTTTTCTTTGAGCAAAAGACCTCTATAATAATAATAATAATAATAATAATAATAATAATAATAATAATAATAATAATAATAATAAACATAATAGTAAATATGACAATAAATATAATAATAAATTTAATAATAATAATAATAGTAATAATAATAATAAGTTGAGATGCAAACACTTAAGGCATACTCTTTCGGGTTGGAAAAACACATTTGCATGTTAGAAAAAAGCGAAAGGAGTTGAAAGTAACAAAAATGAGTTAAATATATCTAGAAGAGTTGGAAAAACTAGAAGAAATTTGAAAAAAGATTATAGAGAGTTGCAAAATATTATAAAAATGAAAATCCTGGAAATGAATATTATATCTTTGAAATTTAATTTCATTTTTTATAATAATAACTTATGCTCCATTTATTTAAATTATTTTTTGTAATAATAATAATAATAATAATAATAATAATAATAATAATAATAATAATAAATAATTGAATAAGAAGAGTATGAAACATACACCTAAATACAAGTATTTTTCTTAAAGTAAATGTTTGAAGAAATGGGAAGAAATAGAAAGCAACGTGAAGAACTTAGAAGAATTTTGAAAGAGTTGCAATTGAAAAAACTTGAAAGAGTTGAAAGAAATTGAAAAAAATCCCAAAAACTGAGAAAAGTTAGAAAAGGCTTTAAAAGGCTAGAAGAAATTTGAAAGAATTGTAAAAAAATTTAAAAAAATTGAAAAAAACTGAATAATTTTAAAAATATTGGAAGTTAACTTTTTCGATCAGAAAAAATAAACCATTTACCTACCATAGATTTCCCATGAGGATCATCATCATCAATATAAATAGCAAGGATCATCATCATCAATATAAATAGCAAGGATTAGTACTCCGTAATACCCAATCTTTATACGCACAAATCAGCCCGGAAGTGTCTTAATAATTACAATTTACAACCTTAGTAAATTTATATTTATATATATGGCAAAGTTTTATTATCGCAATATCATCCTCCTCATCTTCATTTTATCTCATCTTACAGGTAATTCGGAGCATTAACATATACATATACTATGCACTCTCTGCATCCCAAAATGATTTACCTTTTCACTATTATGGTTACGTTTCTCGATGATTTTGCTTGTGTACATATTTTCATTAATCATTTGGTAAAATAAAATATTTTTATCATTTATTATTTTGTACAGAGTAGAATTTTTTATACTAACATTTATACATGCATGTAAGCTTTATTTTTTATTTATATATCTAATATCCAACGATATATAGCAAATACTCCATAAGTCCATAGCTAGCTAATATAATAGTCTTTCCTACATTAATCTAAGATAATTAAAAAAATTATTTAAAATGCTAACGTTAATCAGAAACGAAGCTGTAAACCCATATTTGTGTGCGTTATTCACTTATACGGAGTATATGCCTTCTCTCTAATAGAGACCCTCTCTAACCTTTACATATACTACCTCTGTCGTCCTTGAGTATTTATCTTATTTTTAACTTTTTCCACTCGACGAAATTTAACCATTAAGGAGTTGAAATTTAATCGTTACATTAAAGGAGTATTTGAGATTCTAATAACGCGGTTAAATTGTTTTTTTAAATTTTTTCTGAGTGTGTTTCATTATTTTCTTAAAATCTTCATAAAACACATGTTTTCCTCCGAATTTTCAAAAGTGTGTCATCCATCCCTATACTTTGTATAAAGTGCATGCTTTACGTCGCGTACTTAATTTCAAACTCTTCATAAATACTCCGTATCATGTTCTCGGTTCTCCTCCCGAATATTTAAAAGTACAGCATAATGAAGAGTTTGAGGGTAAATCACGCACTTTATAAAATGTATAGGAAGTAATAGGCACTTTTGAAGGTTCGGAGGAAAAACATGTACTAAGACTTTATTCCGAGGTGAATGGCGCAAAAATTAAAACTCGTTTATTGTTGAATATTTTTCATCAATCATTTAATAAAATATTATAATCATATTGTCACCTCTTATGTACATTTCTTATGTAGCTTTTAAGTACTCCGTATCATATTTTATTTTTAAATTTTTCACCAATATTTAAATAAAATAAATTGAATAACATGAGTTTGTGGTTCTAATCCCATGTTTTATCATATTTGAAATTGTAATATTCAGATACAAAATGGGTGAAGAAGACAAATGCATTTTGTTTGGTGGATCAAAATGATTGCGTGTTAGCAACATGTAAAAAAAACATGTTACCAAGACCATGAAAAAGCTTTTGGACAGTGCCAACAAAATGGGGGATGTCCATTTAATCCTAAATATCAATGCATTTGCACGGGAGGCAACTGCAAGTAGTTACTCTCACTCACCCACAAATATATACTCTTTCTTTTCACTATGTACCCACAAGTTTATTGTTATCCGCTTTATTTACTTATTTCCACTACGTATTTTATAATATAATATAATCATATCCTTTTGTCACACCGTCATAAACCTTGATTTCGACTTTAGACTTTATTATGTATGTGTGTTGTTCTCGTTATTAATTATCTGGTGTGATAAACTATTAATTTTATAGGGGCATGCCCCAATACTTTGTACTTGCATGCATATTGTATGGACTTGAGTTTTATAAACTTTTTACATTTCACACAAAAATAATAATAATAATAATAATAATAATGTCATTTTGCATTTTGTTTTGTATAATTTTTTAAGCATTTGTTGTCTGAATTTTACGGAATATATATTTTGGAACTTGTTTCTGTGGTAGACTTTGATAAGTGTGTTATTTACTCCCTCCGACCCCGAACGATTTATATTTTACGTAAAACGAAATAAAATTTCAAGCTTTTTAAATTTATTTATTAAAATTTGGTATATAAATAAAAATAAAACTTACATATTTAAAAGATACATCAAAAGTTCTACAAAATAAGAGGTGATAAGAATATTTTATTGGAAAATTCTACTTGTACCTCACATTAATAACGAAAGAAAAAAAGAATAAACATGAAAACATAATAAAATAATGTTTTATTATTTTATAAAAGATAGAATTGAATTTAAATAGAAATAGGTAATCATTGTTGTAGATCTGTAGATGTGAGATATTACAAAATATGAAGTGAGTGAGATTCTGAATACTATCAGATTTCAACAATGTCCGAATAATGGATTTTTTTTTCAAATTTGAATATATCTGTGCATCCCATTCAACATTCAAATCCACAATCGAATGTTAGTACTCAAGCGAAATTTGGCTGAGCCCAGGGGCGGAGGAGAGGGGGGGCTGCCTAGGCACGTGCCCCCCCCCCAGCGAATGTCCGGCGAAGTACCAGTGACGAAGATGCGCAAGTCGTGCCCCCCAGTCTGATTGTGCGCTACTCTGCTGCTGTTCTGTTGAGGAAGATGAGTTGCAGCTTTTTTTAAAAGTAGGTGTTTTAAAAATAATAAAGTTAAAAGATATTTAGTGAAACGACACCGTACTCTTAGGGAAAAAAGCCTTAGTGAGACGTAATAGAGTAATTTGTTTTCAATGCTCTTAATTTTAATGCTTTAGTTCATACGAAGTAAATTATTGTTGGTTTTTTGTTTCTAGGTGAAGAAATGTAAGTTTATTTTTTACGAAGTAATAGATTATTTTGATTTTTCCCCTTATTTTAAGAGATTATTGTTAAATACCCATTTTAAAAAGAGATTATTTTTTTATTATGCATACTAATTATAATGCCATTTAATTATTTTGTTTTGAACTACTACCTCTCTTCCATAATATTCATCTAGTTTGACTTTTTCAAGTCAAATTGGACAAACTTTGAATCTCAGTTAAGTAATAAAAGCTAAAATATATACTCCGTATTAGTATAAAAATGATTTTATTAGATTTAGGTAGCGTTTTGTTCAACTTATTTTTTCTGGTTATTACTTATTCACATCATAATCAGATTAGACCAGACCAAATCACATCAGACCAGATCAGAAACAGATTTAATTATTACTGCAATCAGATCGGACCAGATCAAATCAGACTAGGTCTTCAAAAAATCAGATCATATCAAGCGAACGGAACTCAACCTTGATTTGTTTAGAACTTTCAAAATTTTATTTGATTTTATTAATATGCAATACAAATTGAGAGTAATTGAAGATTAAAGTTTATTCAGTTTGACTCGAAAAAGTTATGGTAAATGAATACTCTAGGACGGAGGAAGTATTTGAATATTTGAGAAAATTTATTAATTTTTTGACATTTCTATTGTGTTTTTAATATTAAAAAATTCGGGGACGCTGCCCCCGGACCCCCGTAATGTGCCCCCCCACTCGTGGCCTCCTGGCTCTGCCACTGGCTGAGCCGTTGAGGCCGGCTTTGTTACAAAATTTTTGAATTCTTTTCAAAATTAGGAGAGGCAATATCATAGGATTCATAGGGAAAACCAGTAAACTTCGAGTAAAATATAAGAGTAAAATGTCAATAATTTAAATTTTTTGTGCAGGTGGAGCCGGGGGTCTCTTGGAAACAGCCTCCCTACTTCCGAGTAGGGGCAAGGTCTGCGTACACACACCCTCCCCAGACCCTACTGTTGTGGGATCCAACTGGGTTGTTGTTGTTGTTGAATGTCAATAATTTAAATATATAGTACTAAAAGATATAGTGAGATGTCATTATACGGTGTCATAATGTCACAGTGCAAACTCCTATTTTGGGTATAAAAATGGAACTCTTATTTTGAGGATAAGTGTTATGTTTTACTCAGATTTGGGATGATTTCTAAATGGCTCCATATATCCGGTAAAAAGTTCCATTCCTTTTTATTTTGTCTCAAAAAACAAAATCTTCTAAAGAAAGGAATGTATGACACACTAATTTTGTATACTTTGAACAAATTCTAACCATAAACTTTTCACTATTCAAGACTTAAAAAGGGTTTTCGCCGGACAGAGGGAGTACAATACCAGGAAGGCGTGAAGAATACTTCTCCACGTTGCTACCTTGCTCGATGAAGAAAGCACCAACTCAATTGCGTCCTATGTATTCTCATGCCATTGCTCCTCTTCATTTGCGAACTTCGAAATTGAATTCTTGAGAAGCTCTTATCTCATATCAATATGGAATAAAGGTTGATAAAGAAAGTTCCAACTCAGTTTTACTATGACGAAAGCAAGAGTCCTGGAGATGGAAGACATCAAGTGATGAGCGTGGAGTAGAGTGACGTTTATTACATGGGTACGATTCCGTTGACACTGGCCAGCGGCGCCACTGCATTTTTGGAGCACTTCCGGTGCTCCGTTCGAGAATTGATGTTCCTACCCCCCTAACCCACCCCCTAAACCCCCACCCCTAACCCCCCCCCCCCCTCTAAATGTGTGGCTATTATGCAATGCATTTTAGCCGCACATTTGGAGGGGGGGGGGCTTAGGGTGGGTCTGTGGTGGGGGTAGGGGTGGGGATGGGGCTAGGGTGGGGGGTTTAGGGGGTGGGTTAGAGGATCCATCAATTTTTCGAATAGAGCACCGGAGGTACTCCAAAAGCGCAGTGGCACGGCTAGTGGCACCGTTGGCCAGTGTCAACGGAACCCCACTCTTATTACATACATTTGTTAATTTTGACTTTCTATGCAACAAGAATTTCAAGCAAAGAAATGAAGGGGGGGGTGTTAAGTCAGCAGTCAGGACAATAGTTAATTAGAAGTCGATTGATGCAAAGCTGGTTGATCTCCACACTAGATTAGTAGTGCTAGAAAAATTTAGCTGATGACCTAGCTTCAAAATGCAAAATGATAGAAATAGAAAAGGGAAAAAAATTGTGTGAAATGAAATTATTAATGAAAATCTAATCGGCTTACTTGAAAAGCTACTAAATGAAGCTAATTCTGTTTATGTACAAGCCAGCTATTGGTGTTTTAGAAAGCTCTTCAAATAAATTGTGTGTTTGGATGGCTTATCTGATCAGTTTGATCTTATTTTATAAGCTTGAGCGTATTTCTTAATCTAATTTAGCTTTTCAAACATGCTCCGTGAGTTTTTCACTTATAGTTTCTATTTTACCCTTTACATTAAGAAAATAAACATTTCTGTATCTAGAAACTAGCTCAAAATCTACTATATTCAAACACTAATAGATGAGCTAATTTTTTATACCCTACAAGATGTGATGTGAAAAGATTCCTCTAGATGAAGTTCAGAGCTACCTAGCTTATTTCTTGAGCAAAGCCTTAAGGATTAATCCCCCCACCCCCACCACACACTGGTTATGGTGTGGTAACTTTACCACTTTGAAAAGATGCTTCTCAGTTTGGACCAGCCCAAAGAAAAATGTGGGTTATTAAATAATCAACTCTAAAGCCAACCTTGTGCGAAGTACGAAAGCTTTTGCAGCAGGAAGTAGCTAAGGTTTTGACGTAGACTCCATGCATCGTAGCGCTGATTGCAGCATAGATCTAGCTTTTCTATCTGGCATGCAACCTGACAAGAGCATTTCCTCATACACAGCTGGAACCTGAAACCCAAACTAACCTTGAACTTTATTACGGAGTATATCTTTAAAGATATGTGTCATGTCTGAACTTCTTGAAAACATATGCATTTTCTAAATGTCTGTTTGGAGCCCAGAAAATGCTAGGGAAAGAAAATAAGAAGGAAACATGAGAAAGGAAATAAAATTTGGGGAGAAATAAGAAATTGGTTCAAGTTTAATATTCAAGTACTCAGTATATATTTGTCTGGACGTATTCTATTTTCAAGTGTCAATTATGAGAGTATTTTTAAGTGCATTTGCAGAACCAATAAGCAGAAGTAATAAAGAGATAGATACTTAGTTGCTCACGTTTGGCTTATTAGATTAAAATGCTTAAAATAACCAATAAGCAATACGCATGTGAATATTTATGACTTAGAGGTTTAAACTGGTTAAAATAAGCAAGAAGCAAAAAAAGCAGTAGGTTTATCAAACACCAAAATTGTAAAAGAAACATAAAATTATCAGTAGAAATTCAAATTTTCTAAGCCACTCCCTATGTGAAGACTAACTTTGAATGTACAGTATGCAAAGTCTTATAAATTTTCAATGGGATTTGGTCCAAACATTAATAAAGTCATTTCCCTTAGCCTTTTCTTCCCTTCCCTGCCATTTTCTGGGATCCAAACATAGCCAATATGCAATGATACCTGATATGTTCACAGCAATACTCCCTACCATGAGATGTATACCGATAAATCGTCTAAAAATATATAACACTATAAACGTGCCAACAACATAGTGGCAAATTTATAATAGATGGTATCCAGCATGAAACTATCAAGAATAGGGGTGAAGCAACAAAAGGAAATGTGAAGAATTGCAAATACTTACTTTACCTTCCCAAATTTCTCGGCACGAATTAAAGCTTTCATGAGAGTGGTGTAAGTGATAACGTCTGGCTTTATGTCCTGTGGTTATAATTTCAGGAAAACTCAAAAAGCTTATAAAGCCATTGGTGTTAAAAACAAAATAAGGGTAAAAGAAAGCAAACAATCACATGAAGAATAATTCAGTGGAAAATATCTTTACTCACATTTTCTTTCATGTACCTCAAAACAGCAAAAGCTTCAGCATCTCTTCTATCCTCACCAAATGCATTAATTAAAGTATTCAGAGCCAATAAACTGGGCATGAGACCATCAGCATTCATATTCCTGAAAGTTCTTACTGCTTGCTCTGAAAGCCCCTATCAATTTTTTTTTTAATACCAGATGCAACAGCGTTACTAAAACACTAGGTGTAAGTCAATGACACAAAAGAAATTTATTAAAACATTCGATATGTAAGTTTGAAGTTTGAACTCTAAACAGCTTCATGGGCAGACAGATGCATACCCACACATGGCAAGTAAAACGTTACAGAGTATTAAATATCCAGGATGGAGATTTGATAGGTAAACATGAAGAGATACATCATAGTCCCCAAAGGACATTAGCTTCTAACCCTGAACTCTTGCTCCATCTCCCCTTTAAAAAAGTCTATTACAAACATTTGTTATCTCAAAAAAAAGATCCAATTTGATGAAACAAAGTTAATTTTTGTGTAATTTTCCAAAAAATATATAAATCAGTAAAAGTATCATATAAGAGTTTGCAAGATAAATTTAGTTAAAGCAACCAACGAATTTGAATAACCCACATATGATTCATGATTAATCACACTTGTACAGTTGTACCTTACCAAAATTAGAAAGTTGTAGAGAGCAAATGTGAATCAATTTTATGTAATACTCCCTCTGTCCCAAGATAAGACTCCTCGATTCCTTTCATGGACATCCCAAAAAAACTTCTCTTTCCAGTTTTGGAAAACCTTTTGTGCCTCGCAATCTTTCTCTCCTTTGAATCACTTTCAAACAATTTTACTTTTCTAAAACTTTGTGCCAAACCAAATCAAGAGCCATTTTTGGGACGAAGGGAGTATAATTTAGAAAGAAATTTTTAGGAGGCTATTAATTCAAATAGATAAATTACCATCCGCGCATAAGCATTAATTAATGCATTATACATTGTTGTGGATGGCTTCAACCCAGCAGATTTCATCACTTTCAAGCACTCAATTGCATCGTTAAATCTCCCCGACCGTCCATGAATATCAACTAGTGTGGTGTATGTAACTGCATTAGGCAGTAATCCATGACTCTGCATCTTCCCCAATAAACCCTTCACTTCTTCCCACCTCCCCTGCTGCCCGAAAGAATTAATCATTATATTGTACGTTGTGGTGCAAGGCATACACCCACTTCTCTGCATATCTTCAAACAGCTCCTCTGCTTTATCATGGAGGCCATGTTTGCAATGGCAATCTATGATTGTGTTCCATGTCACATTGTCCGGCACGATTCCCTCTGTTTTCATACTTCGAAATGCATCCATTGCATGGTCAAGACAATTATACCTCCCTAATGTGTCGATCATAACATTATAGATATGTGTATCGGGTTTAGCCCCACTGTTCTTCATTTCCTCGAGCACCTCAAAACATCTCTGCCACTCTCCCCGGTCACGGTAACCTGCCAATATCCTACCAAAGACAAGTGAGTTAGGTTGTACATTGTTCGCTTTCATTTCTTTTAACACTACAGAAACACTCTCCCATCTGCCTGCATTTGAATATGCATCAATGAGTAGACCATATGTATACTCATCTGGTGAAATCCCAATTCTCTGCATTTTAGATACAATATTCTTAGCATCATTTAAAGAACCAGATTTGGCATGGGCTTTCAATACTGCATTATATGCTCTCAGCCTTGGCTTCAATCCGCCTTCCCTCAACTCCTCAAAGACAGCTTCTGCCTCTTCTGCCCTGCCAAAATTCCCTAACTCTGAAATCACAGCCACAATAGTAGCTGCTTTCGGGGTCAAGCCGTTTGCCTGAATCATGGCTAGAAAATCCAAAGCCCGGTCGACATTCCCTGCCTTGGAGAACCCTACTGCTAAATCATTCATCAACTGAGAGTCCAGCTCGATCTTATCAGCCTCTATTTCCTCATACAACTTCTCCAAAAGAGCTGAATCAGCCCTCTTGCTCCTAGTAAGCGACTGAATGATCAGACTGTAATTCACGAAGTCCGAGTGATAACCATCCCCACGCATTCTAGCAAGCAGACTCAATGCTTTTTCGATTTCATTGTTGCGAGCACAGGCGCCAATGAGAGCATTGTAAGTCACCGGGGTGAGCTTCTGATGCCGGAATAGTAAGAAGGCTTCGTATAGCTTATTGAATTTCCCCAGCCCGTGAATCAATATCGAGTAGAGAAGCTCGTACGAGAAGCAGAGATTGTGCTTCTGGAGCCAAACCACGAGCCCATATGCAGCCGAGATCGAATCTGAATTGGAGGACAGAGACTTGAGAAGCTCGTGCCAGAGTGGTGCCGGGACTGCTCGGTACGAATTGGCCAGCTTCAACTCAACTTCGTCTAGACGAGCGGGTGCAGACTCGGCCGAGTCGGACTCGGTGGGAGCATACGTCTGGAGGAATTCGATGAGGGTAGTGAAATCGTAGTTGCGATTCGAAAGTGAAGCGATGTCGTATCCTTCTTCTCCTCCTCCTTGCGGTTCATCGATGTTGCTGAATTGTTTGGAGGATGCGGCGGCGGAGGTGGTGGTGGTGAAGGTAGCTGCGGCAAAGAGAGGCGGCTCCAATCTTCTTCCGCGGCGGAGGATTGTTGGGAAGAGATTAACAGAGTGAAAAGGAAAAAGTAAAGATGGGGGCAACAAGAGCGCGTTCATCGTCCCCCTCCTTCTCCGGCCGCCGGAATAGTGACGTGGCCGTTTAACAGCATACTTATCTGGTTATCTCCCTCTTTCAGTCTTACCTTTTTTTTCCTTTTTCATTTTTTTGGACAATGTTGCTTCTCCTCCCTTCTAAAAATTATTCATGCTTTGATTTTACAAATAAATTAAAGAAAAGTAAAAACTGTTTTAGAAATCACCTTAAATACTTAAATAAGACTAAAATATAGAAAAAGTATTAAAACAGAACTTTTATATTTTTATTCTCAAAATAAAAATTCGCATTGTGGTAATGTGGAGGTAATGTGACACTGCACACGTGCACATTACTATATTTTTTGGTAATGTAGTAATGTACATGATCACGTTTGGTAGTGTAAATGTATCTTAACTCTTATTTCGGGAATAAAAACATGCAAATCGTATGTTTATATATTTTCAATGTCTTACTCATACTTTAGTATTTTTCTGAAAATGTTTTAACTTTTCATGTTTGTTCTTATGTATTGCAAAAAATGAAATAAAATGTAAATATAAATACTCCGTAGTAATTAATTAATAAATGTGAGGGTAATAATGTAGTTTTAAAAAATGCAATTCCAAAAAAAACAGAAAGATAATTTATGAATAGACAATAAGAAAGGGATGAAATAAATTATAGATGGAGAGAATACACTTTTAGGGATGACAACGGGTCATGCTCAATTCGAGTTTTAGTATTTGCAAACTTGACCTAACTTAAGGTGGTTGTAATGGGAGAAAGTTTGAGGTTTAAAGCCAACTTAAACCCAATATTATCTCCGTCACAGAGTATTTGTCCACTTTCATTTTTACACATCATCTAATACACTTCTTTAATCCATTTTATATTGTAATTTGTATATTAAAAAATGAGTAAATTTTATATTTGGTCCTTTATAACAAGGGGGTTTCCCTATTTAGTCCTCTATTATCAAATATTACCTCAGTGGTCCTTCTTTTATGAGTACCTTTCCACAAATAGTTCTTTTTGATCTTCTATCATGTTGGTGTTAATTTGAGGGCTAAAAGTGTAATTTCACAATGATAATATATCTTTTTTGTCATACACAATTCCAAAGGATGTTCCGTTTGCGTCGTTTGTGAATTACTGTCGCTTTTTATGACAACGATAGTCTACAAATGTGATCTTTCACCAGAATCCTAACCCACAATCATAGCCATTATTTTTGTGTTATCCGTTTAACCAATATCAGAACACGCTACTAGACATAATGTTGATGTCAAATTATACTTTTAGCCTTTAAATTAACACTAACACGGCAGAAGATCAAAAAAAGGACCATTTGTGGAAAGATACCCTTAAAAAAGGACTACGAGGGTAATATTTGATAATAAAGGACTAAATATGGAACCCCCCCTGTTATAAAGGACCAATTATGGAATTTACTCTTCAAACAAGATCACACATAACTATATTTAGGCTTACACATTGAGAAAATTTGATGAGTCAAAGTGCTTTGATGAACAGTTCTAAAAGTAAAAAATGGACGAATATAGCGGGACGGAGGGAGTATTAACCGTTAGGATTGAGGAGTTGGCAATTTTATTTGTGAGTAATGTTAGTGTCACAAATAAATAGTTCATAAAATTCACAAATTTACCTTTTAAATATTTTTCTAGAAATAAGATGCACCGAGATAATAAAAGATATTTTCTTCCTCTTGGTCTCCGCTTTTCTTCTTCTTTGTTGGCCTTCGAATCCTCAGTTTTCTTGTGATATTTTGCTATCGTTATTAGATTATACAAAAAACTTGTCGTATTCGAGCTCTCTTTACAAAATCCACATCAAATTTCACTTTGAATATGAAAGTGCCTAGAGTCCATAGACTATGAAAACTTAATCTCATCTATTCCATAACTGTTACAGAAAATTAAATTCCATTTATAGCTACTAGACTATAAAAATCCAGTTTACAGTTAATTCCACCGGCCATTGTTCCAATTTTGATTGCAAATTTGAAGTTAAGAGGCAAAATCTACGTCTTTTGAAATCATTTTATTTACAAATTAGTACATCAATAAAAACACGTATATTGAAAAACTATTTTAAAAGTTCTACAAAATAAAAAGTGATAAATTTTTTTAAACCAAATAATCAATGAAAGCATACAAATAGACAAAAATTATCGAGAAAATGAGAGAAAAAAGTATAATCAATTTTGGGATGGAGAGAGTATTAATTTGGATTTTCTATAATTTTTGTTTGTTTGTATGTTTTCGTTAATGATATGATAAAATAAAATATTTTTATCAAATCTTCATTTGAATTTTTTTATGTAAGTTTTAAATAATTCGTATATAATTTATAGTTTTTATATATATACTAATTTGTAGATAAAACAATTTTAAAAACCATGAGATTTTGAACATTGTTCAAAGTTGGATCATAAATTTTAGAACTGATTTAATCTAATTAATTCTAGTTATATTTAAATTTGTATGTTATGTAATTTATAAGTCTTCAAATAAATACTCAATTCGCCATTGGGCCTGCGAGTCGGGTATTGAAATTAGGGAGTAATTAATAAACCCTACAAGCCTGAGTTTCAGAGGTTTATCACCTCCATCATCTGGGCTTCCGGCTTCTGTGCATCGGCGGCGCCGGCAACAATGGGCGGCTCTCGTGTTCAAGTGAACAAGCAACACAAGACTCGGTTCGCTTCGAAGTCTTCTCGCAACGTTCACAAGATTCCCTCCAACGGTCAATCATCGTTTCACAATTTTTCTTCTTCTTTCGTACTAGCTCAATTCGCGCCTTTTCATTCCGAGCCCAGTGTTTTATGCTTAATGTTTCTTCTTAGATAAAGGAAAATCGGCCAGGCCTGAACGAAATGTCATCAAGGGAGCTCGGAATGCTCGGCTACAACGCAACAAGATGGTAATTTCCCATTGTTTCTGTCGAGATATGTACTTGCATTAAACTTGTAATGGGAATTCAATTAATCAGCTGGAAGGAGCTATAAAGCCTTTTTTGGATTGTTAGGCTAATAAGTTTGTTGTGCAGTTTGTAATGATTTTTATTTTTTATAAATAAAATTGGGGATGGGGGACTTGGGGAACTAGAATAGTTGAATTGCAATTATTATTAGCGTTCTTCATTTTTTTATCCTCAGTTTGATAGATATCTAATTTGTGTAGGCGAGGGAGCAAAAGAAGGCAGCCCTTTTGAAGGAGAAAAGGGAAGGATCAAAGGCTCCTCCCCGTGTCATTGTCAGTGTTTCATTTGTACATTTCATCTCACGCTCATGATAATAAGGGGAAGTGCTGACAATAGTAACTCAATCCCATTGTCCGTTTATATTCATTGTTACAGGTCCTGTTTGGTCTTTCTGCATCTCTGGACCTATGTTCACTCGAACAAGATATTCTAACATTATTATCAGCTGAAGGCACTTCTGTCTTTCCAGCAGTTGCATCTTCGGAGTTCAAGCTAAGAGCAACAGTAGGTGCTTCCATGTGTTGATCCTTATTTATCTCTGTGGTTGGGCTTCTACACATTCTATAAAAGATTTTTTTGGGCTGACTTCCAAAAGTGCCTTTACTTGGTTGGGTAGTGTTTGTTGGCTTCATATCACCCAAGTAAATTGGGGTGGTAATAATTTTCCAGCTTGGCATATTACCTTGCTCCAAAATGATAAATGCGAATCTGTATATTGTTATGCTCAAGGAAATGAGTTTCTTGTAGATTTTTACCTATTTAACCCATTGTGCGTTTGTGCTAACCAGAATTCGCATAATAAATATACTACTTTAATAACTACTCCCTCCGTCCCCATTTTGATTACAATTTTATTTTCTCTCTCCTCTTGAATTTTTTGTTTATTTGTGTGTTTTCATTGATTATTTGATAAAATAAAATATTCTTGTCACATCTTGTTTTGTAGAATTTTGAACGTAGTTTTTTAACATGTAATTTTTATTTCTTATTGATGTACCAATTTGTAAATAAAATGATTTCAAAAATCATGGTATTTTACATTTTAATTCCCATTTTGTAATCTAAATAGGGACAGAGGGAGTATCATTTTTAAAAATAATGCCATGAAGTTCAATACACTTATCTCACTCTAACATAGCTTCATTGGCGTGCTCATCTTGTCATCACAAACTCATTTGGGTCATACCCTCACCCCCCTCCATTCCCCTTTCTGGAATGAACTTCCTTTAATTCCATATGAAATTGACATACTTATGTATGGCAGCTGTGTAATTAATATTTCAAGTGTTTATTCTCATAATGAACAAGGATTGTATTGTACTATTGTATGTTGTTTCCCCTGAGTTTTGTTTTAGTATTTATTACTATGCAGAGAGGGAAGAGACCAGTTTATGTGGGTTGGTCCAAGTATAATAAGTCTTTTATGCTTTACGGATTGTGGTTAGTTTTTTACAATATGAAGTGGGAATAGCTGGTGGATATGTCTTATCCAATTCACCAGAGATGCCGGTAGAATTTGGTGATTACCTTAACTTAACATGATGGTTGCTTAAAACTTTGTACTCTGTATTTAATTAAATCTCTTAATCCCTGGACAAAAATTAATTCTCTGTCAGCTACTCTTGAAACAATAATAGACTTCCTATTATAGCACTTTTCTTGTCTTTAAATTTTTCATGATAGTTTTCATCATTTGATCTATCTGGAAGACTGATTACTGTTTTAGAATTTTCATCTCATCATTTCTTTGTATGATGTCGGGTGGTGGTTTTGTCCTTGTCGTTGTGTGCTCTGTAGGGTTAAGGTCTTTCTCCTTACATCTGTTTATGTGAATTTTGTTTTATCATGCTTTCCTTATCCTCAGTTTGCTACGTAGTATCTCTTTTGTGCTATCGGTTGTCTGTGTTGCTTGAGCTGAGGGTCTCTTGGAAACAGCTTCTCTACTTTTAGTAGAGGTAAGGTCTGCGTACACACAACCTCCCTAGACCCTGCTTTTCTGGGATTTTTCTGGGTTGTTGTTTTGTCCTTTGTATGATGCCGTCTGTATGAAAGTTGTGACACGAAGGGTATCTGGTAGAAAAGTTTGCCTTTATGTTTTCTTACAAGAATTTGATTTAAGTAGTTTTATACAAGAAATTGGCTTTATATACTCAATGTCACTGACCCAACTAGTTGGGATTAAGGGGCACTGGTGCAGATAGTGAT